GATGCTGGTTGGGGAATTCTGGGAGTTGAAGTCCACTCATCTTAAAGTGGCCAAGTTTGGACAACACTGGATTAGGGGTTCTGGGATTGTGGGTTGTTTGGTTTCTTTTTTTAACCCACAGGTTTCATGGCCTGAAAAAGTTTGAAATCTTCTTACTCACAGAATAGTTTTCACCAAGTGGGCACCCCCTAGATGTGTTAGGCTTCTATTCCCATAATGTCCAACCAGCTAGTTGGAAATTATTGGAATTGAAATCCATCCAGATGGGGAACAGGGCTAATAGATTGCTTTTTTCTCCAAAGAGAGAATGCCCCCTGCTTCTGAAGCTCCACTCAGTTTTCTTGTTAGCAGGTGGGGAAAGAGAAAGCTGCTGTTAACAATAACTAGGAATCACACTTTCTTTACTATCAGTCAGAGTTTTGTCTTTTGAAGAGTTGGGAATTGACAGCTGAGGGATAGGAGTGGGTAATTAGTTAGTTATCCTGTTGCAGCAAGAAAAGGACAAGGTGGCTGAAATTCTATAAGCCAGGTGTTTTCTATGCTCCCCTCATCTACTTAGGAAAAAGCTGCAGTTAAATCTTCCTTACGCCATCTTGTGTTAGCCCTAGAAAGAGCATTGGCTGCTGCCGCCAAATGGATCATTTGTGCCCTGGAATTACATATTGATCTGTTTTTTAAAGGCAGGCAGTATTCTGCATTGGAAACATATTGGTTGTGCTGTATTTGTCTTCTTCTGGTAGTCTTATATTTTTATTGGCTTTCTTTTTGCAAAAGCTTAGGAAATTTCATAAGCTGCCTTTTATCTTTCAGAAAAAGAAATACACTCAACGTTTATAGATTAGCTTCCCTACAGCTTCCAGTGTGAGAGTGGTCTCTGCGTTTTGTTTTATCGTTGTCATTATTCTGTTTAGGAAGAGAAGAACCAATGAATGTACAGATCTTTCCCAGATATCTGTATATCTCATTTAAGTTTTTCCTTTTAAATTTTGTTGTGATATATAAAACAGGCTTTCAGAAGATGAAAAGTTTCCTGCAATTCCTGATCAGAAATTAATTGTTAGTGTACCTTGTACTCTTCATTCACATAAGCCTCCTCTTTCAGGTAAGTTCCGGAAATAAATTCTTACAGTGCAATATTTTTAGGGTGTTATATTTTCAGTTGTTGATATTTGTCTTGCTAGTTAATGGCTTAAGTACTCTTATCCATTTGTATTGGTAGTTTTGGACCATCATTAATATAAATGAAAGTTTGTAGGAAATTACTGAAAGTTTGGGCATTTTCATTAGACACTTAACTGTGAATGTCAGTCTGTCAGTCTGTTCAGTTTTGACCAGAAACGCTAATATATAGTTCTATTACCTTAGGCTTAACAATCATTATTGCACTGTTAAAATGAGCTGATCTTTAAAAGATGATAGCCTAGCAGATTTTATTCAGAGCATTTCCTGGGAATTGATTTTGAGCTAATTGTTCTGTTTGAGAGCGTTGATACTTTGCAAGCAAAATATGGGGAAGTAAAACAAAGTGATGGCAGAGAAATATTCTTTTGTTTGTTCCACCCCTTCCACTCCATTTGTGGCTACTCACTAAGTCATCCTGATTATGAAGTTCATTAAAATATATGGTTGTAGACCAAACATGAGTAAGTCATATAATACCATGCTTACAGGTCAGTTATCTTGTCTCTTACATGAAACAGAGTATAAATCAGGTTAATGGGGATACTTACTCTTGAATTCTTCTGAGCCTTCTGTGAAGGCATGAGCAGATTATGTCCATTCTGGCCATTCATTAGCCGTAGACCTACATAAGACACTATGGCTTGCTCAGTACTGCTTTTTGGTAGGGGAACTAATACCCATTCTCACTTGGTTGCTACTCTGCCATGATAAATACATACGACATTCACTCTTTCCACAAGCCCCTATTGCTAATCACTAAATGTATTTTCCTTTGAAGCACCATGCCAATATTTGATTCAAAAGTTGGGTTCTTAGCCTTCTCACTTCCACTAGTTTTGAGGATCTAACTTCAAAAATTTAGCTGAGCAAATAAGCAGCTTGCTTTAGTGAATCTGTATGGAAAATAATAATATAGCTGTGTAACCATATCTATTTTAGAGCTTTTCACATATTCATTTACTTTAATTACAGCAGAAGCTTACAGTATTCTTTGGGTATGGCAGTGTATAAAGACAGAAGGCAATATTTACAAAACTGTTGCATTTTGCAAGAAGGATTACCTTCAGTATTTTAAAGGAAGAAGGTTCCAGTCTTAGAGCTGAGGCCTACTGAATGAACATTACTACTTTGCAGCTCAGTATTCCCCAATCTGGCACCTTCCAGAACCGCAGTCTGGTACCTTCCAGAAATATGACAATGAGATCTGTAACCTGAGGATAGCAATGAAGCATTTGTGACCATTAGATGGACCCCACTTCAGAATTTAAAAGTTGAAGCCAAATCATGAGATTTGGGCCATTTTAAACATCTTTTTTTAAATATATATTTTAGTTCAGTTACATCTGGAGGATGTCACATGATGGAATCATTGCTGATCTCTGTTATAGTTTAACAAATCTGGGCCACTAACTGGGGAAGGGCTATCCCCATGTTTATAGCAGGACACATCTCTTGTAGTTACAAAATTGAAGAAATAATTTCCTTCAAGCATAGTTAAACAAGGCAGCAGGAAGGCTACAATTAAAAATTAGTTTATTTGCTTGTGTATGTTATTTTTTAATTTGACCAGATAGAATAGTTTGCAACCCTGTTCTTTGCTAGCTAACTGCTTTTTCAAATAAGACAATATTATAATTTGTTTGTATACTTCACATTTCATTTTATACACACATGTGGCTAATTTCTAAGGTTGAGTAAAAGAAAGCAATTTTTGAATGATTATTCAGAACAGCATAAAACTTCAGACAACTGAACTGCAGATTTAAGGGCTGACAAGATATTCAAGTCTTGTCAGTAGAAGAAGAGAGAGAAAATGTGTTGCAGTGGTGAAAAACAATTACCTGGAATTGCCAGTAGAGGGAAGTTTTTCCCAAGTCATTTAATACTATGAACATGAAGAAAAAGTTGGGATGAGAAAAGACAATTATCTGTATACATTGTTTTGTTTTAAAAAGCAACCAGTGCAATTAACAATAATATTTTTTACCATTAGCATTTTATTTTAATGAAAACCTCCTGGCTGATTATAGCATTTTTTTCCTGAAAAAAAAGAGGACTTTGTATATTAAAGTAAATAATCAAAAATATACTTTATTTCCTGATGTGTATTTAACTATGAAATTGTGACACTAGGAGTTTCTAACTACTTTGTTTAATGCTTACATTATTAAAGTGAGCTTTTACTTTATGTAAATATGGCAAATAAAATTTAACTTAGATTACAGAAGTTTATATTTGTGGTCCTGATTGTTCCGGGAGAAAGAAAATGTATATCCCAGACATATATCAAAGAAGCTCCCATTTTAGTTACTGTTGTATACTTACAGTGGGGCAAACAAGTATTTAGTCAGCCACCAATTGTGCAAGTTCTCCCACTTAAAAAGATGTTCATATACCATATAATTGGGAGAATGTCATATGGTCAGATGAAACCAAAGTAGAACGTTTTGGTCTAAACTCAACTCGTTGTGTTTGGAGGAGAGAGAATGCTGAGTTGCATCCAAAGAACACCATACCTACTGTGAAGCATGGGGGTGGAAACATCATGCTTTGGATTGGGAGAATGTCATATGGTCAGATGAAACCAAAGTAGAACGTTTTGGTCTAAACTCAACTCGTTGTGTTTGGAGGAGAGAGAATGCTGAGTTGCATCCAAAGAACACCATACCTACTGTGAAGCATGGGGGTGGAAACATCATGCTTTGGATTGGGAGAATGTCATATGGTCAGATGAAACCAAAGTAGAACGTTTTGGTCTAAACTCAACTCGTTGTGTTTGGAGGAGAGAGAATGCTGAGTTGCATCCAAAGAACACCATACCTACTGTGAAGCATGGGGGTGGAAACATCATGCTTTGGATTGGGAGAATGTCATATGGTCAGATGAAACCAAAGTAGAACGTTTTGGTCTAAACTCAACTCGTTGTGTTTGGAGGAGAGAGAATGCTGAGTTGCATCCAAAGAACACCATACCTACTGTGAAGCATGGGGGTGGAAACATCATGCTTTGGATTGGGAGAATGTCATATGGTCAGATGAAACCAAAGTAGAACGTTTTGGTCTAAACTCAACTCGTTGTGTTTGGAGGAGAGAGAATGCTGAGTTGCATCCAAAGAACACCATACCTACTGTGAAGCATGGGGGTGGAAACATCATGCTTTGGATTGGGAGAATGTCATATGGTCAGATGAAACCAAAGTAGAACGTTTTGGTCTAAACTCAACTCGTTGTGTTTGGAGGAGAGAGAATGCTGAGTTGCATCCAAAGAACACCATACCTACTGTGAAGCATGGGGGTGGAAACATCATGCTTTGGATCTTTTTAAGTGGGAGAACTTGCACAATTGGTGGCTGACTAAATACTTCTTTGCCCCACTGTATATGGTATATGAAAATATACCTTCAGAGCAGATTTTCACTATCTGGCATTGTTCTTTAGGAGCATCTTTCTAAGAGATCTTTTGGAATAATGACATCATCTCATTTGAACCATCTTTTGCTTCTGCTTTTCTGCAAAGCCAGACTGAGCTGATAAACTGGCTTTAGGTAGCAAGGAAGAACTTTAGGGTAAGAATTTAGGAGAAGATTGGGCTCTCATGTTTGTAACCTACAATCCTTAATCCCAGATTAGATTTCCACCCTCAGTTTAGGGAATGAGCAAGGCAGAGTTAAAATTCTAATTCTTCAAATTTTTAATTTTGCTTTGTAGATCACAGCGGTTTCTTTGGCAGCCTGCTCCTAATAGCAGCATTTAATTATTTTGATTACATTTTTATTTTTATCCATAGGCTAAGAGAAAGAAAATCTATGAACTTTCTTTTCCTTAATAATGTAGCATTGCTTCAAATGTTCACTTTTGACACTTTCAAGACTAATGAATTCAGTATGTCACATACTTCATGGTGCAGAGTCTGTGTCATCAGTTGCATGAGTTTCAGACATAGACTGTCTGTATTTTCTGCATTTCATTTCTGTCTGATTTTACAGCTTGTAAGCCCTCATTCTCCCATCATTCACAATTACAAGATTCAGTCTAGGATCCAATCTGATGATCACAGACTGAATCAAAAACTGTCCACTTTGATTCAGATCTTGAAAACTAGCACAAAGGACCTTCCACTGAGTAGCCTCATAAACTCATAAAGGTTAAGCATGAATAGAATAATATAAGTCCTGTTTTATTGCCCTGGTCAGAAAAAATTATTCTTTTATTTTACTATTGGGCTTTTACAAACCTGCATCTGATTTTGTTCATAGTGTTCCTTAATTTATAAAGCTTTTGTTATGTAAAGATAAAGAATTTAGTGAGTTTTCCATCTAAAAATGTGGACTGAAAAAATATGTAATGCAGTATAAAATCAAGGTAATTTTCTATTTCTCGATAAATTCATTTTCACATAAAATGAGAGAAAAGAATATCCATGAGAAATTATAGGACTGAAGAATCCTTACTGGCATGAATGGGCTTTATTAGTATCAATGCATGCTACACATTACAGCTGTGTGAATCATTCAGGGGGGAGGGGTCATGTCATCCTGTAGGTTTGAAGCAGTCATTTTGAGGTTTTCCCAGCTCATTTGCATGTACTTGTGCATGTAGAAAAGTCACTTCCACCAGGATCACTGCCAAGACATTGCCATGATCAAAGTGTCCTTTTAAGCAATAATACAACAATAATTCATTGATATGAATTACTCATAAAGTACAAATGGATTCAGAAAGAACTTGGCTAAAGAAATAAAAATGAAATTTATTGTAGTATTATTTTAAATATTAGTTCTTACATTTGCTTTCTTGTGATTTTAAAATACCAGTAATAGGTATGGAAAACCTTAATCTTGCACTTTCTATAGTATTATTTAATCTATGCTACCAGTTTATCCCCTCTATACTATATTTTAGAAGTTTTTATTTATTTACTATATGTATGCCTGCCACAATTGCAAGACTATCAGTGGTTATGTAAAATTATATTTTATTTCTTTTTATATTTACATCTTCCCCTTATTTTGTATAACTCAAGGCAGAGGCAGAGTATACATAATGTTCCTGCCTCTTAATTTCTCCACACCAACCCTTCAAGGTAGGTTGGGCTTAGAAAATGAGTGGCCCAAAGTCACTCAGCTAGCTTTCATTCCTAAGGGAGGACTGGAACTCACGATCTCCTGGTTTTTAGTTTAGCACCTTAACCACTACACCAAACTATCTATTGTATAATCATGTTTTATTTATTTTCAGTGATATGCAATGCCAAGGCTAAGAATTACATCCCTTGTAGTAGGCATATATGTAAAACAGTAGCTTCTGAGAGCAACTGAGTAGATTGGGACCCGAAATTACGGTAACTTCAGGCAGGATAACAAATCTGAGACTAGTATTGTGGCCCGTGGACTAGACAGACTATCATCCCAGTCCATATGCCTGTTCCTTTGTACTCAGAGAATAACAGTCCATTTCCGTGGTGATATAATATTTCTCGATAATTACATGTGCAGCCTAATGCTCATTTATCTAGGAGTAAGCCCCACTGAATTATGAAAAGACAGGGGCAATAAATAAAAATGAATAAATACTAAATCCCCTGAAAGAGGGTATGCTAAATATATATCAGGTGGCAATTAATCTGCATTGTGTTTATGCTTATTTAAAAGCAAATAAATGTATTCTATTTCTAAGAATTGTTTTGCCAACTCCCTGAGCAAACGTCAGAATAGAACCTTCCACTGTTTTTGGTACCTGCTTTTGTTGTAAAGATGTAAAAATCTGACTAGTGTGTACAGTTGGCAGTTCAGTGATGCCCTATGTGAAAAAGATCTGTCCAGATATTCTTCCATAAAATAAGCTATGAATATTAATACTGCCCCGAAAACATAATGAGGTACTGTCAGTGTAGTATCTCCCTCTATTCAGAATGCTTAGCCTTCAGCTGGAGAATGAACTTTGAAATGGAGCCAAAAGAGAAAGTATGTTAGTAATGGGTGAGTTTAAAGGAAGATGCACTAAATGCTCTATCACAACAAGAGGTAAATTTTTTAAACATCATAATCACTTGTATCCTGGAACAGATACTATATTCATGAAACCAAAAGGAAGCTTTAATTCTTAGTGTTGCTTGAAGCTTTGTATAAGAGAAAGCACAATTTGAAAGGTGTTTGGGACCAATGACCATACTGCTGTTAAAAGGGAAAATGGTTGTTCACCAATTATGGTCCAGGATATTATGTTAAATATAATACCAGCATTAATTGGGATACAGTATTAAATTGGGGAAACGGATTACTTCAAATACAAAGAATGGAAGCTCATATAATATATAGATTGTAAATCAGGAAAAGTACCACCAAGCCCAAAAGGTCAAATTAATAATCAGTTTATTATGTATGTCAGGCAAATTGTTGGAGAAGATAAGGGAAGGAATTTATTATCTAAACAAGAAGAATTACTTGAAGTAGATGGCACTAAAGACTGCCGTCTAGTGTTTTGGGGTCTTTTGCTTCCCACTGACGTGTTTGCATGCTTTGGGAACAGAATAGAATGCCAAGCCTTTGGCCTCTTTCAGTACGACTCCTGTTTTGACGATCAAAGAGTTTGTGAGTCAAGCAAACTCTTTTTGCCTGAAATGGATACCAGTCCTCTAGAGTCAGAAAGGGAAGAGTGAAATTGCTGTGCAAAGTTATGGCTGGCAAGGGAAAGGGGAGCAGTAGCAAGAATGTAGAGCAGAGGATGGGCAACCACCTCTTCAGTTATGTGCAAGCTATTTCTAAGCCAGTTAAGACAATACAAATGTTACATTTTATTAAATAATCTAGTGCTCCTGGTTAAAACATGTTCAGCATAAAATAAAATAGCAAAAGTGGCATTTTCAGTGAGCAGGAAAAATTAGGGGTTAATCATCTCATAGTTTTAAGTGTCAGAATAGCAACCATAGCAGAGAAGACTTAAAGGCTATTTTTAATATAAAATCAGAAATTGCTGGAGGGAAGGTATGGAAGAACCAACATTTAGTAGAAATACCTTGTGACAAAATATGTAGGTAGGATGACAATACAATCAACACCAAGTAAAGCTTTTCATGGAAACTATTTCAGTGGAAAGGGCACTTTCAAGTATTGAAAGGATTGAACACAAGGGATTTGTTCTCATTTCCTGTTTCTTTCATTTTTTGCTGCCTTCTAGAGGTTGTACAGATTTACAAAGCCTGGAACTGGTAGCCCAAATTACACACAGGGCACTTGTAGCTATGATCTGTGAATATTGTTGAAATATTTTGGGTCACAGTTTGTGAAACTGGTGCCAAAATACTTCCAAGCTTAAACATAATTGCCATCTGGTTATAGTGAGAATATCCTTAAGACGTACTAAGAATGATATATGATTATACATATTCAAATTACAGTATAAAGGATTAATTGGCTATTCATACACAGAAGAGCATGACTGATTTATCTGGTATCTTCAACTTTAAAAAATAAGGTATTGTAAGGAATTAATAATCTGTATATTCAGTAAATTACAATCTTCAGGGATCATCAATAGGAAATCGCAACAGTTTAATTGACTTAAGGTTAGATTTGCTTCTTCTCCAAAAGGGCCATCTGAAGTCAGTGAAGTCTAAACTGGGAGTAAGTCTTATTGAAATGGAATAATTATCTCTTAAATGTAAAATGCTGTTACCAGAAGTGTATAATTAATGAAACCAAATGGTACCTGGCAAGGATTGTTTTATACTTATATCTGTTTTGAATCTTAACTTCAAAATTTGAGGGAAGAAATGGTAAAAGATGTAAATATTTACCTATCTCAATCAAGAGTTGTTTTGGCAACTTTCATAAATGAACTTTTGGATTCTTATGATAGTACTACAGTCCTCATCTCCTGTCTCTAAATAAATATCCATAAATGAGAGTGACTGAAAGTTCTGGTCGTATTGTTCATTCTTCCAAGGACGGATATTTCATATTCCTTCCTAACAATATATAATAAAATTGGCTAAAAAAAAAATCCTTAAAGTTAAGTATTCTGTCTTTATTCCCCAGCTTCCAACAGCTTAGAGAAAATTCATCATCCTCACCCTATTTTTTTTTCTTTTTTCCACTTCCCAGAGATTCTGAAAGAATATACCAAGCCAGATGTAGAATGTTTGGAGCTGTTTGCTCGGAATTTGCAGCCTGGATGGACCAGTTGGGGCAATGAAGTCCTCAAATTCCAGGACTTGGACTACTTCACTGCTTTACAGAATAATGACTAATGATACTTAATTATTTTTGAAGATTTTGTTTCTGTGTTCTGAATTTCCTCTGCTAATTCTAACCCTACATTTTGAGTAGTGTGAACAACCTATGTAGAGTAAATTATTGTAGTCCAATTAAAAGGTAACAAGGATGGAGCTTGTTCCTCCATGCTGAGGTTGTGGAGTATCAAGGTCTTATTTTTCTGTTGCTATCCAAACGCACTGTCTGCTGTACGGCCAAG